ACAAAAAGGCCAGTTTCTTCATCTGTTTTGGATGGGATTTGTAGAAGGCTGGACATAACCCGGAGATCCAGTGTTTCATGTGCTTCTCTTTGGCAAGTTCTGGCAGCATGGACTTGTTCTAAACATGCTTTCTGTGTGTGATGTGCCATCTAGTGGCTGACATTAATACAAAGAAAAGTGGTTTTTCCTTGCCCCCTCTCCCTCCCATACACCCCTGAGTTAAGCAGTAATGGAAGTTTGGTGGTGAAAAGTAGTCATTACTTAGAAAAAATAACTTTCTTAGAACCTGTGTGCTGAAAGCAAATTATTTGGGAGGAAGAAGCACTGATATTATAGTATATTTCAAGTATATAGTATATTTCAAGCCAAAAGTCACAAATTGACTCTGTGTATGTTCAAGCATGTGTGCATGCCTCTGTGTGTGTATGTATGTATGTATGTGTGTATGTATGTATGTATGTATATATGTATGTATGTATGTATATATGTATGTTGTCTGGCCCAAGAGTACTTTCTTCAATTTCATCGAGGAATGAAGGTGTGATTCACATTCAATGTAGAATATAAGTGTTGAGAATACATATTTACATTGTATAACCTATGTAAAAATTACTCCAATCATGATATGGAAACTTTCAGTATCCCTCCCCCCTTGTTCTGGTCAGTCTTCCCTCAGAGATAACTGCTTTTTTGAACTATATCACTCTAGATTCATAATGGCACCATTAAAGTACATATTTCTACCTCCAACCTCCCAGAAAGAATAAAACCCTGTCATCACTTTCTTTGTAGTTTGTCCAAAAAAAATGGGGGATGGTTTTCTCAGTAGAAGCATTCCAGGTTTGCTATTTTTCAAAGTCTGAGTGTCACAGGTTAGTTCTTTCTCCAGTGGAAGTTCTAATACACTGTTTTTCTTACCAAACACTTCTCTGAGCCATAGACTCATTTGGTGCGCTAATTGTATTTCCCCAAGTCTCTCTCTCCATTATGTTTGACTGGCACCTCAGAGATGCCAATGATTATCATCAAGAGCTGATGCATCCTGATGTAATGTTTCTGAAGTTAATGGGAGAACCATGTCATCAGCCACTGTTCTGATACCCTGTTGAGATTAGGCCACAGAGAAGCCTAGTGCTAGAGTTACAATAGTAAGAAAGGTGCCCAGTCTATAAATCCAAACAAAGCTACTCAATCATGTGTAGTGGAATTTAATTGTTGCTATTTATAAAGGACTTTTTCGGTTGCAATGAAACTATATTCTCTCTGAATTTAGAACGTATTGTGCATATGCTAGGAAACAAAGCTGGTTTCCAAAGAAAATAATATAGTTATGTTTCCAAAGCTTTCTTTATCTTCCTTATTTGTTCGATTGCCAGATAAACAAAGAGAGAGTCAATAAAAATGTTCCTTCCCAGCATTTCTGCAAATTGCTAGAGATGGAAAAGTCTAAGGTGTGAGGGTTCCTACTCACTACAGTGGAGTTGAGACTCGTTAAGAAATCATATGCCCTGGCTAGCACACTGGAATGAAACGGAGCACTGTCTCGTGGGAGTAATCTAAGTATTGCCACATTCATTACTTTCACAAACATTTTCCTAAGTATTGGTCAAGGGTTTGAAACATAAAACTATTTGAAGAAGAAAATATAAAATTTCCTAATCCAAAGAAAGTTTCCTTCAATAGCTTTGATTATTTTCTTTCAAGTACTTATAATTTCTACTCCTTCCCATTCTCATGTGTGTGTGCATGTGTGTACACCTGTGTGTGTTTCTTGGCATTGAAATAATACCACTTGCTTTCCTCTATCACTGGAGATTATTGGAACATGTTCAAGAGCTGGGTTGTATAGCTCAGTGACAGAGCATTATCTAGCATGAATCACTGTGTTCAAATCCCAGTAATTAAAAAATATGCTTGCTACATTGAATCACTTCATAATTTCCGGACTAGTGGCATGGAATATTTTATTGTATTTGTCTTTCTAGATATTTACAGATAATTTATTATTATATATTTGAAATTAAGTTTTGGATTGACATAACAGAACTGCTAAAATAGTATTAAGTAATAGTGGTGAAACTGGTTGTCATTGGTTAGTTCCTGATGAATTTTTTAAAGTAACTCTGACTTTTATTAATATGTTAATCTGAGAGAGTTAAAATCATATTCAAGCTAAATGCCTGTAATCTCAGCTACTCAGGAAACTGAGGTCTGAGGATTACAATTCAAAGCCAACCCAGGCAGAAAGTCCATGAGACTCTTATCTCTAATTAACTACCTAGAAAAAGCTGGAAGTAGCACTGTGGTTCAAGTGGCAGAGCACTAGCTTTGAGCCAAAGAAGCTCAGGGACAACAGCCAGATCCAGAGTTCAAACCACAGAACTGGCAAAAAACAAACACAAAAACACTTCACATTGAGGCTGGGTGTTAGTGGTTCATATTTATAATTCTAGCTACTCAGGAGACTGAGATCTGAGGACCTCAGGTCAAAGTCAGCCTAGGCCATATGATTCTTATCTTCAGTTAACCACCAAAAACCCAGAAACAGAGCTGTGGCTCAAGTGGTAGGGTGCTAGCCTTGAGCAGAAAAGCTCAGGGATAGTTCTAGGCCCCAGGTTCAAGCCCCAGGATCAACAATCATCATACACACACACACACACACACACACACGTCCTTTGAGTTCTGATTCTTAAACACCAGCAATGGAGAATTGGACATTATGAAATGTCTTTGGAATTGTTGAAATTATTGGATCTGTATCAATTTGACCTATGGATGTAATATGTCATGTTAATGGATATCTTCCCTCTTCATAATGAATACTGTTATATCATGTAGTTTCATACTCTTAATGAATCCCTCAATTGTATACTATATCTTAGTATAGTATATATTTGGTATAGTATGTTTAATTAACATTGTTCTTTACAGATAATTCATATTATTTGATTTTGCTTTGTTTTGTGGTACTAGCGTTTGAACTTAGATACTTGAGTTTTCTTGGCAGGTGCTTTGCTACTTGAACCACGCCCCAAGTGAGATACTAGTATGAGAAGACTAAAGATCATCCATTAGGCTCATTCTATCACATACTACAGTGGCTAAAATTGGGGATGAGGACCCTCTGTATGCCTATTTCCCTCTCTCATTTCTTTTTTTTTTTATTGTGACACTACTGTACAGAGGAGTTACAATTACATGGGCAAGATAACGAGTACCTTTCTTATCAAGCATTGTTGCCTCCTCTTTGTTTCCCCTTCCCATCCCTTCCCATACTCCCCCACCTCCCCCCACTTGATCCTCCCCCTCCCACCAAAGTTGTAAAGTTCGTTTTTCGACATAACGTCTTGTACCTCTCATTGTTGCAATGGTATTCTACTTTTTTTTCCTTTGATAAATTCACATTTTAACCTCTCTTCAAGCACTTATCACATTGTTTCTATGCTAAATTCTCTGCCTATTTGTCTTCTGCACTTGTATGAATGGTCCATGTCTTCAGTTTGAGAGTTCTCCATAAAGTTCCCTTAGACTCTTTAGTGTATCCTGACTAGTTCCAGTTGGCAGGTGGTAGAAATTCTCTTAGATGTATTTTCTTGTGACTGCCCTTAGGTCCCCAAACCAGCCTCATGTCATCTGAGGAGGAAAGAAGAAAATTAAGGTTGATTCCAAATTATGTGATTCTAAAGTACTGTTCTGTGGCAGACATAGGCAGAGACTAGAAGCAAACACTAGAAGCAGCCATATGTATTGGTTCCAGGTGGCTGTTCTGTTCTGGTGCTGATGGCAGGTTGTGGAGAGCCAATTGCATCCAAAACTTTTCCCTAAGTCAAGTATATATTCCTACATAATCTTAATACTAAATACATTTGTTTATACTTGAGTGGTTTTTGTTTTTTAAAATGTCCTCTGAATATTCACTTGGAGGCATCACTTCAAAATGATGTCTTGCAATTGTCAATTCTTTCCCAGGCCATGGCATATAAAATTAAAAGTCCTGTGAGATATAAGCTTAGCTCGCACACATATGAATTCCTACTAAGCCAAGCATGTGGTATATTTTTGGAGATAATCTTTTTTATTTGCACTGCAATGTTATTGAGTGATATGCTTCACACTTATTGAAGAGTTAAATGCAGCTTCAAAGCTGGTACAGTTTTTTTGACAAATAGATATAAAATTCCATCCTGAAAAGTGAGTGAACATTAATGGAAAAAATATGATGAAAAACATGAAAGGGAAAGCAAATTGATTCAGCTACTCTACTTCTAGGTGTATACCCCAAAAATGCATATATGCCAAAGAGACTTGTAGCATCCATGCTTTGTCCAGCATTACCTGCAACAAAGGGGAAACAACCCAAATGTCCACTGGTAATCCATGTGGTGTATGTATATGTATATAACTCAGCCTTTATGAGGGAAATCTGACATTGGCTGCAAGGTTGATGAACCTTGAACATTTTACACTAGCTGAAACAAACCCCTCACAAAGGAAAGCTAGGTGTGATCCCCTCCATATGGAGAACCTCTAGAGAAGCTACATTCATAGAGACAGCAAGTCAAGCGATGGGTAGATGCTTAGGTAGAGGATGGAGAATTATTGTCTAGTAAGTCCAGAGTCTCTGTGTTTTATTTTCCTAAATAAAAGAGTTTTGAAGATGGATGAGGAGAGAGATTACACAACAGTGTGAATTTATGTAATGCCACTGAGCTACATACTTAAAATAGTAAAGATGGCAAATCCTGTGCTATATGTACTTTGTCACACTTTTTAAGAGTTGGTAGGGGAAAAGTATACGACTTGAGCTGGAATGAGCAAACGTCACACCCCAGGGCCATATTTCAGGAACTGACTTCTCTCCGTTAGCCTTTCAGCTGTCCCCAGAAAGGAAGGGAACCATGTGGGTAATCATTGACCCTATGCTTCCAGAAAGAAACTGGGGCTCCTCTGAACACAGAGTGGAATTCGGTGCTCAGTAATTACTTGTTTCTTCTTCCCAGGGTGTTAAATAGCACATTATTTGAAAGTTGGGAGATCGTTGGACCTTACCCTTCCTGGTGGCTGTTTAACCTACTGCTGTTGCTAATACAAGGGTTGAACTGCTTCTGGTCTTACTTGATTGTAAAAATAGCTTACAAAGCTATTTCAAAAGGCAAGGTAAGCTAAAATGTATTCTTTGCAATATGTCCCAGAAGTTTTAAAATATTTTTGGTTCCTATGAAACAACTGTTATTTCAAATCTCATCAAAATCAGTGTTATTTCTTCAAAGTTGAACAAGGTCACCTAGAAACACGTTGAGTTCATTTTTTAAAGTCTTTGGGTAGTTTTGTTGAGTATGCCCAAAGATCTACATGTATAATTTTAGGTGTATAATGTATATATTCTTTGTGGTATCCTTTCTCTCCTATTTCCCTTAGCCTTTCTCTGATTATATTCTTCGTAGTGTCCTTTCTCTCCTATCTCCTTTGCCTTTCTCTGATTATATTTATTCTGAATAGAAATGTAGTAAGTTCTTTAATGAGAAGGGTTTCTCAAGGCACTATACCCATTGAAGCAAACATGTCTCAGAGTAAAGAATTGTCTTTCCCAGCTACATTTGGCTAAGTCTCTGGTTAAGTAGACTCATGGGACTAACCTGAATATAGCTTCCTGAGCCTCAGTCCCTTTGCTGTAGGCATGGACATTTCCAGATTGTTCTCTGTAATGTTTTCTTACTTCATTGTTTGTTCTCTTCCTCCTGCCCCCCTGGAAGGCTGGAAAATGGAACCCTTTACATGTAAGTTTCTCACTCTTTCTTTCACTCTTTGCCTGTTGTAGGGGTTCCAAATGTTTGTGTTTCATGTAAACGGCTCTGTCTAATCTGTTGGTAATAACTTGAGACTTTATTTGAAGTATACTTCCCCTTAACTTCCAAAAAGAACTCCCTCAGTGTACTCTTGATGAGCAGGTAGTCTGCTAAATTTTGCATGACCAACAAAGAAGAAGAAGGATTTCCTCACTGATGTTTCGTATGTTGACTAAGAGATAAAAATAGGTGAAAGTCACGTTGGAGAAACAAAACTAGCTGAGAAGATTAACACAGCAGAGAACAGAGGCCAGGGCCTCAGGAGTTTGTCTGATCTATGAAAAGCCTCAGGGCAGCACACAGCCCTGCACTCAGCAAGGCCCACAGAACTCGTGCCTTTCACAGGTACTTCCAACTAACTAGTCATATGCTAGGATACCAGTTCTCAGTATCTGCTCAATACAGTGCTGAGGACAGAACCCTAGACCTCGTACTTGCTAGCAAGTGCTGTACCACTGAGCAACCCTGGCCTCATTCTAAAATATATGACCAGTTCATTGTTTAGAAGCTGAAGTTTATTAATCCCTATGTCTTCCTACTCTTTCAAATGGACGCATGTTTCTATTACAATTTTTCCTCATTTGGGTATAAATTAAATCAATGGACACAATACCATCAGTCTGGTAATAATAACACACAGGATATGGTGGATTCCATTAGTGTCTTTCCTCGCCCATGGCTCTTTCTGGCAGTCATATCACCTTCCTTCTGACCATTATTCCTTCACCTTTATGAAGATTTTTATCATTAATGTCATTTCAGATCTTGGGCTTCTGAACTTTCTAACTGCTAATGCTAATTGCATCTAGGACACTGAGATTACTCATTTTGTCTATTCATCTTGTAATTTTCCTGTGGCTTATTTTGAGATATTCTAAATAGGTCTTTCTTTGAAGGCAACATAAATATAGATTTTTTTCACCAGATGCAATTTAAAATAATCTTACTAGGCATGTAAATTAGTCATACTCAGCAAGTGGAGTTTTGCTATTAGCAAATTAATTTGTGACTAATGGACTTATAAATGCAGTGGGGCTTTATAACAGCACTGCCTTTGTAACCCATGCCTTTTAAGCTGAGATTTCCTTATTCTCTGGTCATAATGCTGTCTGCATATCTAAGATTTGGGGAATAGTCTATGTGAGTTCACTCTCACCTCAAAGGGCATTCATTGAAGTAAGGCTCATTTGTCCTGCCATCACTGATTAATGGAGCAGTTGTCCTCAGCTTTTACTTTCTCCTGTCCTCACCTACCTTTGAGAGATTATATACTCACATAGTTATGGTGGCTTATCAAGTGATAGATTCCAGAATTTGGGGTTGGTATGATATGATAGGAAACTCCCAATTAATCCAGAAATACCTCCCAGAACCCTGTCAGCCCAGTCTGCCCAGCCCAGCCCCTAGAGAGTCACAGGAAGACATTTTGGGAGCATGTCTATGAAGCTAGGCATAGGTTCTTATGGCCAGCTTCTTAAAATTAAGTAAACAAGACTCAGTTGCTTGAAAGCCTTAAGACCTGCTGGATAAAAATGTGGACTGTAATATAGACGTATAGAGAAGGAGGTTCAGATTTAGGTTCAAGATATGTTATTTTTAAATAACATTTGCTATAAAGTTACTTCCTTGCTAGACGGTAGGGTTTTTTTTTCCCATCCTTTATATTAGCATACAGACTTGCATCCTGTGCATTGTTTTGCCATTCTCCTCACAAAATGAAACCTAATGGAGGGTTGCAGAATTGGAATATTCCAGAGGCTAGTTACTGAAGATCTGGTCAATTAGTTTTCCTCTGAAGGTAGTTTAAGCTAGACTTCATGTAAAAGGTTCATAGAGGGGCTTTTGATGTCATTCATTGTTCGGTGACATATAAAAAATGCTTAATTAATTTTAGCAGACAGAAATGGGATTCATGGTTTGGGACATTCTCAATATCAAAGGTTACCTTGAAAAGGTCAACAAATCCAGTTCTGTTATGTCTAAGTCTACCTGCATTCCTTCATATCTGACTGTCACTCACACTGAATCATTCCAGTAAAAGGGAACTTATTACTCTTGTCCTCTTGGATTTTTCTTAATCTATGAATCAGGGTACTTTCATGTGACACTGTATGCCCTTCTTGGCATGCCATACCTTGATGACCTTGAACCAATTACATTCGTCTTCTTGTGTTCTACAGGTGACTAAGGATGATCGAAGTGACATTGAGTCCAGTTCAGATGAGGAGGACTTGGAACCTCCAGGGAAGAACCCCCATACTACAACCACCACTAATGGGACCAGTGGTACCAACGGGTATCTCCTGACTGGTTCTTGTTCCATTGATGATTAATTATTCAAAACTATAAGTCCCGAACAAAGTGAACTATTTGTTCCTGGAAGTATTTAATAAGTTGCAAATGCAGTTCCTTTCATAATATCTCATCACCTGAAACAAAAATTAGGATTATTAAAGCATTTTGAATAGTGCACTGCCATATGTCCTGTCTGTGAATGAAGAAGAAATACCATTCTCTCTATGTAGGCATGCTGTATGTAACTGACACAAGGGAACAGTATTTGCATTTGTACTGTCTTAGAATATTATTTATTTATTTGTATTTGTTTGTAAATCTGTGGACAAGAGGGTTTCCTCGTTTCTTTTACTCTCTGGGCTCATGACAGTGAAGGAGGTGCTCCCTCTGCTTTGACCCCTCTCTCTTGCTACAGTCTCGTGTTCTGTGGGCTTAGTTTGTCAGTTAGATCCAGCAAAATCCACTGCAAAATCCTCACACAACGCTAGTAGATTGGCTTTCTTTGTGTTATTATTTATTGTGCCCATCTTGAAATTGCCTCCACCGTTGTGATGACTGTTCTTCCAGTGGAAAGTTTAAACAGAAGGAACTGGGCTGGGAAGTTGGCTCAGTGGTAGAGCGCTTGCCTTGTATGCCTGAGGCCCTGGGTTCGATTCCTCAGCACCACATAAGCAAAAAGAAAAAAGCCGGAAGTGATGCTGTGGCTCAAGTGGTAGAGCACTAGCCTTGAGCTGAAGAGCTGAGGGACAGCGCCCAGGCCCAGAGTTCAGGCCCCACGATCGGACCCCCCCCTAAACAGAAGGAACTAGGTCTTTAAATTGTTACTCTTCATGGTCAATTAGCAGTACAAATGGAAGAGGGTGGTTCTTAGGAGAGTTATTGGAATTTGGTATGAAATCGATTTAGAGTAGATTTCATTTCTTGTGCACACAGCCAAGATCCCTCAAGTGTCATTGTGGGCTGAGTTAACCTTGGAGGTTAACCTCAATTTGATTTAATTCTCTAGGAAGAGGTTGGTGTTCTGACTCAGAAGTAATGTAATTTGCTTTAAGTTCATCATTATAAAGAAATTATTCTTCATATGGGGAATTTATCCCATGTTCTGGGAACAACATAAGGACAGAAACTCTTAACAGCCATGTTTGCCACTGCTCCTTATAATTAGCACAGTGTTCTGTCATATCACAAAAAAGAAGCTAAATATATTTTAAGGTAGAACAAAGGAATCTTCCAAGAGTTGGCAAAGCTGTCCTCCGAGGCAAACCACCTTATTGCTACAAATAGCTCTCAAGAAAAAGCCCTCTCTAGTATTGGACTTGATGTTATCATTTTGCTGAACAAAAGAAAGCCAGTGGTAAAAGACCTGCTTTACCATTGCTTTTCTTGGTAAAGGTCATTCACAATGATTGAAGCTGCTCAGTTTCTAGTAACTCTACATCCAATTCATTTCCTTCTTTAAAGAGTTGTGAGGTGTACATGAATCTTTGTTCAACTGGAGGTATTTCCAGAACAACAGACATTATACTGGATAATGATAATATCAACATGAAAGAAAATTACTGAAGGATAATATATATAAGCGTGCATAAGCTTCCTATGTGTAGCAGTGTTTCTTATGAATGCATAAAAGCATCAAGTAAGCCAAAGATTTTACCTCTTAATCCGTTTTAGCAAAAGGGAAATAATAGGATTACAAATATTTATGGGTCAAAAATTCTATTGCCTAAACCAGGAATCCAAAATAAAAATGTAGTGAAAAGAATGTGTGGTCAGAACACAGTACAGACAACAGCAGAATATTAGAGATAATTCAATTTCTTTTGGAAAAAATTAAATTCACGTGCCCACATTTTTCAGCCTATAAGTTAATAGTGAAAAGAAAATTCCCAAAAATCTTTCATGCAATATTAGATCTTTCTTCATCCACTTCCAAAATATAGTGTTCCTGCTATTGTCCATGGTAGTTCTGGAAGAGGCTTTGAAGTATGTCTGCTTGTTTATATAGAAAACAATTAATTCTGCTTGTAGAGTCTTACTATTTTATTTCACAAAACAGGCATATGCATAGGAGTATAACTGGTGGATAGTTGAATTTGTGAAATTAGTTGAATTTGTGAAATACTGGAAGTATTTAGTCATCAGAACACCTGTTCAAGTGCAGATGTACTAAAAGTACCAAATATATTGTAGCTGAAAACTTTGAGAAGGTGTTATAAATAGGATACAGAGTATATATTAGCCTCACTCTAGTTTCTGGGCAAGTTTTCCTGATAGGTGAAATGAACTTGAGGACCACAGAGTGCTCAAGTTTAAAACACATAGCATGCTTTTGCCCAGGAGAGTAACCTCAAGATCAACTGTAAATTCAAGATTCAGAAGAAATGTATAAAATCAAGTAAGTTGATTCCATCTTTAGTTAAAGGCAGAACCAAACAATGTTTTGTTTTTCTCAGAAATAATTTAGAAGAAGGACTAGGAATACTCTGTTTTTCTGAGTGTTTATTTAACTGAGACATTTACTTTCTGCAGTCTTTTACATGTCTACAGATTTTATTTCATTTTACACTTTGAGGCAGAGTTCTTTGGGGTAATTTAAATGGATTATTGTAGGCTTTTCCTGGCATAGAATCGTCTTAACTCTGACTACTGTTATTGCATGGTGGCCCTATTAAACTGAGAGAGAGACTGTGTGAGGAATCTTATCCACCTGTGCCCGGCCATAGCTTTTGGAGGTGTATTGTATAAATTAAACTCAGCTATAAGATAGTGAGAGTATTGTTCTTGTTAATTAGCCTGTGGTGAAATCTCCCTTGTGATCACATTCACACCTTTCCTAGGTGAGAAGAGATATGTAGAAAGGACACTAGAAAAAGTAACCTTGCTTTCATAGCTTTTCTAGATCTCTTAGAGAGGGAGAAAAGTAGAAAAGTCAAATAGAATTTGGCCTTGAGTCAATAAGTGATGTAAAAGTATGTGATCTATGTATGTGTGTGTATATTTCTCCCAAATCGGATAAAAACCAGTATCAGTGACTCATCTTCATTCATATTCTCATCATACACACCATCCATCACCATTCCCTTCACTTTTACTCCCCACACAGTTGAGAGTATTGGAACCTGTTCAGCTTTTAGCCACAGAACAACTAAGGTCCAGGTCACATAGACCACCTGAGGTGACACAGAACCCAATACAGTTCAAATTCCCAAATTCAGCCCTGTGGATGTTGAGATTAGAAGAGCAAACTGTCAGTATTTTAGACTATTCAAATGTTTGTTATAAAAATGAAATTGACATCACTGAACCACAGAGTTTTATTAATAATCACTGCTGGGCTTCCAGACAGATGTTGTCCTGAGAGATAATTAGATAATGTCATAGGCATCTGACAAAGATGAATGAGACAGAGAAGAAAAGCAAGAAACAAGATCAGATCAGATTACCTCTAGTCAAAAATTGCAGGTGGGCCTCAAAAGGCCTCAGTGATGTTGACAAACTTCCTTCTCTGAGTCAGTTTTTCTAATCTGAACTGTATAATGATGTTTCAGTTGATGGTGAACTGCATATATTTCTGTGGTCCCATTGGATTATAATACAGCGTAGGTGTATGGTAGTTTATGGTTTAGCCTAGGTGTAAGTTCATTCAATCATACTTTAAACAGAGCCACCTAGTAGCACATTTCTCCCTGTTGTTTAGTGAGAAATGGTTATGTTTGATTGAGTTTGAATTTGAACAAACAAAAAAGAGTCTGAATATTCACTTCTGTATTTCAATCTCATTGCTATTTGGGCTGAATAAGAAAAGAGGCTTTATCTCAGCTTTTGTGAGTCTTTGTTAAAGAGCTCTCCAGAGAGAAATTTATAGATATGATTATCCTTAAGCTGTTCATAATTTTGCATTAGTAGTTATTTTGGATATAATTATTTTTGGAAATGCCAAAATTGCCTGAATATTTGAGTGCTTTTCTTAATTTGAAGTATAAAAAATATAAAGAATAACTCCCAAAGTGTTAAAAAGTTCTCTTTATCTGTATGTGTGGTGATGTCATTATATCTAGAGAGACTTCAAGAAATCCTTTGGAAATGAAAGGTTAAATGTTTACATTTTATGCATTATTTGGAGTATTATGGTTCTAATCACTGCCCACCCCCAATCTTTGGGTAATTTCTGCTTTGTAGATAAATGACCCTAGTCCAGAAATACTTCTAATATTCAAATAAGAAAGAAATGAGATCATATTTGACCTGATGGATCAGTGATGATATGATGCTCTGTGACTTGTATAGAAAAGGAAATGCTTCAAGAATCTCTCGTTATTGTACTTGCTATCCAGCATACTGGGAAAAGAGTGACACAATGAGTTTGCTGATCACAAACAGTTCTTAAGGAAAATGAAGAAAGATTTTCCTTAAACATATTGTTGTCCCCAAGTCAGCTTTGGTTTCCCTTGGTGAAATGAAATCATGCCATTCCCAAATTGTGATAGGTCATAGAAGGACCATTAACCTTGGTATGCATGATGCTCACCTATCCCTAGGGGGCGGCCAGTGGATGCTGAGGAGCCCTGGGCAACTCTGCTGCTCTAATTTCTCTAATACTAAAAGATCACATACCTGATGCATTTTTTGTTATGAAGAAAATTGTGTTAAGAAAATACGAAACAACCTAAGTATTACCACGAGATCAGAAGACAGCCAAAAGGAAAGCCTTAGTCTTTTCCAGGTGTTTGTAACTTGAATTCAGCACAAAGCCTTTGAAGAAAATGTATTACCAATAATTTTTTATGTGATCCTACTAGGTCAAAGAAACTTAAAGTGTTTGTAGCAAGGTAGTACATGGCTTCTCCAGGAAATGGGGCATTCTCATGATTGCATAGAAAGAGATGGAAGGAGCCTGTTAGCTTAACATCTGTCTCAATTATCTCACATTCCTTCAAACCTTCTAGAACTCTTAACAAAAAGGAAGTCAGGAGAAAGCCAGCTTTAAGTTTCCCAGTAATGTCTCCCTGCCTGGTCCCAATTTTATGAACAACAACAACAACAAAGAAAAAATACCATGTTTGTGTATATATGTTTCCCTAACACAGATTTACAAACATTTGGTTTCTTTTGTTGGTGTCTGTTATGTAGCCTGAAAACCAGGAACATCAGCTATTAATTATGGATTCTGTGTTG